ACAGAAGCTGAGAATGAAAGACATACATGTGACGAATACATGGAGGAAATGAAAGGGGGTAAGTATTTCTGATTTACTTAGGAAAACAGAGTGGAAATAATCTGAACAAGACGGTGTTCTGTGTTTAATGTGGAAAATACATTTGGCATGTGGTGAGGCTCATGTTAATATGCAGCATGTTTGGAAAACCTGGCAGGAAGAAAATCCTTCTCTTTCTAGAAATCCTGAAAATGTCTGCATAACGTGGCCATGTGGTCATGTGACCACCCATGCTTCCTGGCTCCAAGTGAGAGGTGTACACCAACTCTTTCCAGACTCAAATGGAAAACTACTGCTGCAGCTAATGTATTTCCTCCACAACTTTTTCGGTCTCTGTCCTTCCTTTTATTCCACTCCCCTCCTCCCTTATTCTTATTAGCCTGTGTCAGCATATTCCACAGACCCATCCCCACGTCTCTGCCTTTGGAACCTTTCATCTGGATGGAAATACTGAGGAGGGAGGGAAAAAAATGCTGTAGTTGGAATATGTGTCAGTTGGCCAAATAGGCTCCACATGCTTGTTGTAATGGCGCAGGATGTGGCAGACATAATGGACTCCCTCTCCATCTCTTTTTTTTCATCTCCCCATCTCCCTCAGTAACAATATTTCGCTCTTTATGGATGCCATTCCTTGTCTTTATTGTGCTCTATTTCCTGCTTCCCCCCGATGTCACGACAGGCAAATTAGACTTTAGTAACGTATTACGCCTTCTCCCTCCAGTCTTAAATCCGAAGTGTGCTGAGTGTGTGGCCATGTTGTAACTTAAGTTGCCGCTTTGTTGCTGCAGTGGGAGCCTGACTTTATTCCATGGCTTATTGCAGCAATAACGCAGACCAGCAGACTGAGGAACTCTCACACACACACACACACACACACACACACACACACACACACACACACACACACACAGACAAACATACACACACACACACACACACACACACACATACACACACACACACACACACACACACACACACACGCACCCACATACACACACACACACACACACACACACAATCACTGTTTTATTCATGTTAAGCTGAAGCCTCGTTTACATTATCAGTCAACAAAAGCCAGTATTAGGTATTAAGCTAATTTACTGTGTACTGAGGCTTTTAATGACTATGGAAACAGGAGTGGCTAACACAAATTCTGCTGTGTGTTGTGAAGCTTAAAGTATGTCTGGCTATCTCTTTTCTCATTGATTGACTGATTTATATAGGCACTCATGCTTGAAATAGAATATACTCCTCTGTCCGCAGTAGAGATGCAGGGACTCGCCGAGTGTATCTTCCCATCTGCTGTGTGTGTGTGTCCTATGTTTTGCATTGCACATGTAAAGGTTCACTGGCTGCAACTCTGAGGTGAGGCAAACATAAAAGACTAAGTACCCTTCTCTCGTTCTCCCCCTTTCTTTCCTCGCCCACCCTGACCAAGCTAAAGCTAACTTACAGCCACCCTCTTGTCCCCTCTCACAGTGCTCCCTTGCTAGCCCATCCCTCATCCTCTTAGGGGAGCACGGGAGCATGCAGTGGAAATAACAGAGCCAATAAAGACACTGCCAGAATCCATCCACTCCCTGCACCTCACATAGTTGCTGAGGGAGAGAAAGAGTGTTGGAGAGGGAAATAAGGGACGGGGAAAAAGAGAGAAAAGTCTGTCTCTGTTGTCTATGGACGAAGTTGGTGGTGGAGGAGAGGAGGTAGGCGTGGCCTTGGAAGAAGATGAATGAGGGAGAATGGAGAAGGAGGGCAGGATAGAGTGAAGATGGAGAGACTTGAATAGCGAGATGGTGGATGTGGGAGGGAACATGTGCGCACACATATGGACCCCCATTCCCATAGTTCCTCTGGGTACCTGTGTTGGTCCAGAAGTACCCCCTACAGGTGCAATCCTTTCCAGCCCTGCAACACTTCAGACTTTTTTCTTTGCTAGCCACAGAACGCTCAAGAGTCCTCAGCTGTAATCAAAGGGGATTCTTTTTTCAGGTCATTTTTTATTATTGGGGTTAGGGTTAGGTTTAATTGAAAAGACCTACTTCATTTTGGAAGCTGCGTCCAAAAATTGAACAGGTGCATTTAAACAAAAGAGGATGGCAGAGTTCAAGTTGAACAGCAGGTGAGTCGATTCTTAGAGTGCTGACAGAATAAAGCTGGTTAGAGCAAGGGCTCGCGTCTCGTAAATCATGGAATGTTTTCAGACTACCATACGATGCCGCTTGACTAAGTCATTGATCCTCCTTTTCACAGATGGTCCCCCGTTGAGAGCTGGAACTCGGCCAAACCTACCAACCTTGTACAATATTTGTAATTGATCACAGCATCACATATATGCAAAAAACACACAGTCCAGTTGAACAGTCTAACCAGGCCATATTCAACATCCTCATGTTTCCTGTCATTTTGGTGAACAACAGCGCAGACTGATTTGAGATGAAGACAATTTCTTCGCAACCCCCGCCTACCCGAAGGCTCTGACTTTTTACAAAGATATCTCAGTCTTCGATCCTTCACGGCAATCTTTTACTTTGTTTTATAGTTTTTTGTTTCCCTTTTTTATGATGAAGCATTTATGATCATGTCTCTCAGGGTTGTCATCCCAATTTAGTCCCACCAGGCGAGGATATGAATGGCTCATATGCATGTGAACTGAAGCATTTACATCAATTCTCATTGAAACAGTAGACGCATGCCGCGACGTGGCCTAATTTTCTTGTACGCAGAGAGGAGCTGTGAAGAATTGGAAGAGAAGACAAATCTGTTTCCCATGTGTAGCTCTCAGGAGGCCTTTGAAACAGCTTCTATTCATGTATAATACAGAGACCTTCAAAATAATTGCTTCTTTCTTGTCAATCCTTTGTCTTCTTTCTTCCTCTCACATACGTACAAACACTCATAGTACCTTTGAAGGAAGGGTCTAGTAATTATTATGTGCAATTTACTTCTCTATTGGCAAGTTTTGAACAGAGTGCTATAAAGTAGAAAACTTTGGCAAAGAGATTTATCTCTGCTACTTAATCAACGACATGTATCGATGCTGACAAAGTGGATAAGGCAAATAGCTACACGTCGATTACGATCAAATAGTGTATTTAAAGCTTAAAAACAAACTAAGAGAACATTTCCGTGTGAGAGGGCAGATATTCTTGTGCAATAGGTTTCCCTCTCCATATTTACATGGAGATGCATTCAATGGGCTGGAAAACTTGATGCATCATGTACTTTCATTTTATGGGATTGAACCCTTAACGTTCGGAGGCAAAGAGGACATGTATAAAATGTGGATTTTTCTTACTGACAGAATATCCCATCAGGAGATCACATGATCAAACCAGATGCAGGGAGGCAGGCAGTCCCTTGACAGGACACAGCCCTGACAGCCATGTTGTGTGTAAGCTAATGTCTTTATTTAATATTGGAAACCCTACATTTATAAAGAAGTCTACAAAAACAGTGAATTTTTTTAACCATTGTCTCGTGCCTTTATCAATGGGTCTCTCAAACACACTCTTTTGTTGTTGAAAATGCGGTGGTTAATTTCATTTTGTAATCAGCCATGATGTAAGGATATTCTTGCAACAGGCACATGATACTTAAAGCTAAATGCTAAAATCAACGTTCTAGCATATTAGCACGCTCACATTGACTTGGGAATGTTTGTTTTATGGCAAAATCTATCCAAACATTGTCGCAAAATCTCACTCACTACCACATATGTCAAACACAATGGTGCTAGAGGGAAAGTCAGAGGATCACTTCATTAAAATCGATGCTTCAATTGGAAATGTTGACTGGTATAACATGTTTGCCAATCCATCAACTTATCATGATGCAAAAAATAAACATTCAGGTGTACTGGACCTACTTCACATACATTCAGATCAATATTTGTAATGATTTTTTGCATTGCTATTCAATGGTATTTAAGTTTTGTCATTAATGGCAGCAGTGGGTACATAAAAAAAATATGTGTTAATGTTCCCATAATATTATTTGAGCCTTTATTTGCTTCCATATTATTCTGCCACTAGCACATGTGAAGAAACATGTTAAAACACTTGATATCCCACATGTGGTGGCCAAATTAGTTTTCACTGATGTTGTTGGTTCAGAAAGGTCACGTCTGGGTCAACACGTAGTTCAAAGGTTTGCATTGCAGCTGCACAGGTCATTGATGGAGAAAGCACAGATACACAGAGAGGCTTTGCTTTGATTTTACCAGTCATTAAGCCTCCTCGCTTTTTATGCCATTTGAATTTTGTTTCTTTTTTCTAAAGCTAATGAGGAAGTCAAAGATAATGGCTTGAAAGGGAAATTGACCTCTGAGCAAAGGACAAACATAAATTGAAGATGTGAGCACTTTTCAGTAGCTATATACAGCCACATCAGAGAAGGAGGCCCATATAAATCAAATTTCAACGTGATATTTATTTGCCTGCTGAACTATTTACTTACTGACAATAAAGGATGAATTTATGTGGCCATTAAGACAAGTGTTTTTAAATGGTCAGGGGAGGCAACCCGAGGCCACTTTATGGATTGAATGCGATAAAACCCAGTGCTAAAACAATATGGAAGCTGACGACCTCACTGTCAATCAAAGGTAAGTATGATAATCAAGTTCATTAATTTTAATGGCATAAATTCTTCTCAATAATGCACCAGCCGTTGCTGCCATTAACCATATTTCTTGTCTTAATACAGTGCCTTAACCCAGACGTGGTGGAAGTTTTCCTTTCCCCCTCTGGTATGTGCCATGAATCAAACGATGAAGGGGGAGGGAGGGTGAGGAGGTGAGGCTGGTGGTGTAGAGGGTAAGGAGGGGTAGAGGCCTGGAAGATTTCGGTAGAAAGATTAGAGAGACGCCTTCAGGCTCTTTTTCCAGAACTGTGGACAAGGTGATGTCACTGCATGTTTCTCTGAGGGATCTCCCACAGAGAGAGGAGGGGAGAGAGAAAAGGGGGATGTTAAAAAGAGACAGGAAGAGATATACCCAAGGGGGGGAGAGAGTTAGAGTTTAAGAGGAAAAAAAGTAAGGAGAAACCGAGAGAACGACATCAGAGAAATCAAAGGGGGAGCAGAAGAGGGAGACAGTTGGGGTTTGGATTGTGCAGCCGCGGAAGAGGGGAGGGGAAAAGTTGGACACGGACAATCTTGCAGGAACTTTTTTTCTTCTTTCCTTTCTCCGTGGAAGAAGCCTCAAGACAAACAGTCAACGGTACAAAAGACACACTGGATTACAATTCAATTGCATCGACCCACAAGATTTCCCCGGATAGTTACGCGTTTATTTCCGGATTCATGTGGTCGCAAATTTGTGGATTAATCAATAGTTGAAGGTATGGTTTTGTGGACTTTTATGGACGTGTTAGCGATGCTGTTTACAAGTGATGTAGGTTTTAAAGAAACGTCGCAGTTTAATAAGTAATGTAGACAACAGTTTGTAAAGTGTCTGAGGTGGAACTTTATGCTAAAACTTTTGCAGTAGTTTCATATTACAACAGCAGGCTAATTCACATGGGAACGGTATTATACAGCAGAAACAGAAACTCTCTGTAAAGTCAGTAGGCCTATTAGGCACCATAGTTACAGTGTAAGTCCCTATATAATTACCATAGTAATGCTAAACAAAAATATCATGATATTTGGAGAACAAAATATAAGAATGATACACTCACTTTCTCCCAGTGGAGATCATTAAATGTGTGCCTGCTGAGTAGCCCTGACACATGGTAGAATATATTTATTTGGTCTTGCAAAAATAACTTTTGAACCGCAACTAGTTGGTAAAGCTGCTGGCAAAGGTGATGCTGATTTTCCAATCACATCTCAGCCAGGCCTCCATTCAACACACTAACTAAGGGTTACTGTAAATAGGTGGCTTGCATCCAACCCCTGCGGCTCGGAAAAGCCTCTGAGTAGCACTGTTTGGATCTGAAACATGCATATCACTCAGACTAGTAATGGCCGAGCCTCTGCTGTAGTTTGAGATCAGTGTCCAAAATTCTTACTTTTTGCCTCCAACTGGGGGGAAAAAAAAGTGCTGAGGAAGTTTGAATGCCACAGGCACATCTGTTGTCCCCATTACTCAGCCATCCCATGTTTGTTGGCTCCTGCATCCTGTCTTTGTACACATCTTGAAGGTTTTCTGAGTCTTCATACCAGAGAGCTGCATCTTTAGAGAAAATACGATTTATTTATCTGTTGAGAGGTGTGAATTGCTTCACTTCTACCCCTTTACCTATGGTAAACAACTCGTGTTTTTGAAGGGTCATTTACACAGAAACATAATCTGAAAAGCATGGAACCTTTAGTATCTTCAGGGACACTTTCCCCTGCAGTTACTTGTTTACTTCTTCAATCCCTGGGGAATATTACCCTGTAAACATTACAAATTGGTGTCCTTGAATTTTACTACACATTAAGTGTTGCTCACTTAACCTGCTGCAGGCCACACATGCAGTGTTTAGCTGCGGGTCATGCATCTTTTTCATTTACTGCTTCCAATTTTAGCTTGCCCTATGTGCCTGCAGGCTTGAGGGCGTCATGCCATTAGAGTAGGCGTTATTTTACATCATTGCTAATGTTCGTGGATCAAAAGTGTCCGTGGCAGTGGAACTTTGAAGCAACCCTGAGACATTCAACATTCATTTCTTTTTTTTAACAATGTGAAACTTAGCTGGCCTGTTTCTCATTTACAAATATTCAAGTTAAGGCCTTGAACAGCTCAGTAAGGAGGACTAGTAAAAACTTGCCTCAGTCGTCCTTGAGTGTGATGCAGCTTTGGATATTGCCCTCACTAGTTTGTGGTTTTGTCACTCCTGGTCAATTAATATCTGGATCAGTTATAAAAGCCTCAAGGCCTTTTTTAAGTTTCTATTATTCACTCCAAGTTCCCCGTTGTAACAGGCCTGCAATGCACTCTGAGGTTTGGCATCAACACATTAGAAGTTCCAGGAGCTAAGAGTGTAAATGTCTTGTTGTCCCTGATGACATTTAGAATTACAGTAAAGAGTAGCTTCTGACTGTCAAATAAATCCTACAGAAATGCTATTATTCTTCCAAATAGTCAAAAAGAACTCCAGGCTACCTGAAAATTGGCAGCATATTGACTGCTGAACAACATTTTTCTTGCCATGCTAGTTTCATAGTGGCTTTTCGGTCCACCATTGATCCAGACCAGATATTTCTTCAGCTATTTGACGAATTGTCATGCAATTCTGTAAAGATATTCATGGAGGATGAATCCTTATGAAGTTGGTCATCCCCCTTTTGTTTATGTAACCTCATAAGCAGCAAGTTCTGATTAATGCTTTGAAATATCTCAGCAGCTGCTTGCTGGATCAGCGCCACCATTTATGGTTTTGAGTCGAATGTCTGAATAACTATCCGATTGATTGTCATGAAATTTGGACAAAATTAAATGTTTATGTAAGGAGTAATTTTGTAATCAGGGTGATGCCTGAAAAATAAATCCCATTCCTTTCAGCATCATCTTTCCCTTAAATTCTAATCAGTACTTAACAAGTTAACGGCTGAATTAAAAAAAACACGAATGCCTTACATGTTAGCATTGTCATTTTTAGCATATTCGTCAAAGCATTGCTGAGCCTTAAGCCTTGATCATAGTCCACGATGAACACGGACTTGCACACGTACACGGGTACCAATGTGCAAGTGCTTTTATACATGCCGCATGATGAGAGCATGATGGCGACCTTCTGACAGGTCGAAGAGATACCATTTTGGTTGTATTTTGTACAACAACATGCAAATGTCAAAGAATACGGTGTGTGGAATCACCAAACAATAATAAGGCCAAGGATGAACAACACCGTACAGACATACAATTCAGCAACCAAGCATCCAGTTTACTTTTGTAGATCAAGTCAGCTGATTGTAGTGGGAACAGATCTGTCACACATTTTGGGTGCATGCAGATGTCCCAAGAGGGACCGCTCTGACCTTTCACTGACTGCAGTAGATGACTTAATTTTTCTTACGCTCGCAGCCAGGTTGAAACCATTTATCTGCCTGAAGTACTACCTTGTATACCCGCAGAATGACTGTAGACTTCTATTCTTCTTATGGCCACAGGGCTTTAGACAGACCAACAATTAAATCAGAGTTACGTTCTGTTTTATGGCTGCATTCCATTCAACGTTAAGTACACTTTCCTATACATCCTCTGCTGAGCTTTCCCTGGAGGATTCAATCGGGGGCGAGACCCCAAAGTCAGATCAGGGGCTTGTTTTCACTGCCCTGCACCTTAACCACTCTTGACTGTGTTTTCATGTGTAAGATAGAGCAGGGTAAATTGTAAAAAAAACCTTGTGAGTAAGTTGTCCATCCATCTTCTTGCAACAGAATGCTTAAAAGGACAGCTGGAAAGCCAGTGAACCCTAAAATATAACATGGCTGACACATTGCTGCTGGGTTCTCCCATTTAAACAGATGGAAAGTAGTCTAAACAGTGGGCTGCTGGTTTTTTGTTATTTAATCATCCGTGTCTGGATGGCTAATAAGCAATTCTCTTGTCAGGCCATAGACAGGACATGTTTCATTTAACTCTGTCAGAGTGTGTTTCTCTAAACAGGCTTGTGTTGGGGCGGCTGTACCATCTGTAAGCAGTGGCAATGATGATGAAATGTGTGACAATAAAAATTGCTAAGCATTGAGCACAAATTACCTAGATTGTTATATAGCAGACTCGGTACCTCTTTTGTCCGTGTATTCAAGCCATAATAAACTACTGGAACTGGTGGCTGTACTGGAAATGAAAACTGGGCAATAGCTTTGGGCCGAGAACCAAAATGACCCCTAGAACTACTGAACAGGTCTGTATTGTTGGGGGGGGAAAAAACACTTAATGATGAGGCCTGTGTTGTGATTGTCTATGTTGGTCATCACTTCTGTCCGCCAGTGTTGTCTTCAGGCTTTTAGTGCTGGAAGACTTTCAAATCTGTCATTGTTTTCCTTCCTGTATTGGCTTCGTACTCAGTGACCCGATCACTCGCATGCCTGCTTACCGGGCCCATGGCCAGCCCAATGGCCAAGCCCTGTGGCCTAACCCGATACTGCCTTTATCTGCTATAGCCAGCTGGGTGGCCCGTGAAGCTGCAGATGGAATTCAGAGAGTTAAGGAGAAAGAGAGACATCCATAGCAACACATATTAGGAAGCCTATTAAATTGTGTTGGATTATGGCCAGATAATAACAGCAATGAGCTGTAACTCTTCCCTCAGCTTGTATTCTCTGGACTGTGATGCATTATGTATTATGTACTGTGTGAACTTTTTTTATTATTGTAATCATGTGGCATGAAGCCTATAATAATGGCTGCAGCTTTAGACTGCTCAAAGCCGGCCGCTTTGATTAACCTTACGCCCATCCAACTGCAGTCAAAACTTTATTTTACATCTATTTTTCTTGCTGTTTAGTTTGCAGCTACTTTCACATAAAAATGTCCATGTGGTCAAAAGCTTTGCACTCAGATAAATGGTGCCATAGCTTTTGCAAAGACCTTACTTCTTCATTAAATGGTATCTTGTCCTTTTTTAAATAGTATAAACAAAGAAAGCATCCTCACCTTTGGTCAGCAGCCCCCCAAAATAAATGCAGAATTGGCCATGTGGCGCACATTAAGTTGTCCTTACTACTTCAGAACATCATTTAACACACTGTCCTCCACCATATTGTCTGTTAGCAGCAATCTGCCTGCAGTCAGGTCAAGCTAGATGGTATTCACATAGTGTCCTCTGCCGGGCAGGAGCACCACATTGTGCACCCCCAGGGGAGCGTGGGGGTCATTTCTCCTGGCAGACGGGACAGGTGTGTGTACAGAGACACAGTCTGCTCGCCTGCCTGCCTTGAGGGCCCTGCTGTACCTGTAAATATTGCAGAGTTATGGGGTCCTCACAATATGCTGGGGGCAAGTCCAGGTCATGTGGGATGTGTTTATGTGAGTCGGAATGGGTGGTGCTGGTGTGTTTATGGGCTTGCATTCTTGTGTGTTATGTATAAGGGGTTATAATAAAGGAGAAGGAGTGGGGCGGCTGAATATAATGATTATTTATACGTGGCACATATTTTAATCTGTGCCTGTGTTTGTGTGTGTGAGTATGTGTGTGAGTATGTGTGTTTGTTGTTGAGCCACGTGGAAGCATCTGGTGCCATGGTGCAACACAACCATGGCTCCAGAGGAATAGTCTCCAGATGTGTTTGTGTGTTTTGGCCCCACTGTGTGTTTGACTCAGAACCAACCAGACTGCATGTAAATCATTTTACTTTCATCTGTGCATTTTGATCTGCCTTTGTTTTTTTGGGTACTTTTTGCAGCAGCAGGTATACATTGTTTTTGACTTTTAGAATGTGTCTGTGTCCCTTAAGTGCACTCTCTCAGACATATTCACATGTGTGTGTGTGTAAGGGCTTGTGTGTAGCAGCTGCCCAGTCAAAGGCCAACCAGATGGACAGGGTAATGACTATGATCAGACTTTATAGAGTTACACTCCTTAATGAGGGACATTCTGGTTAATTCATATGACACTAACAAAGCCTGCATCATACCACATAATCAACACATCAACTGCGACATCATAAATATACATGAATGTCTATTTAGGAGTCAAGCATAATGTGCAGCTGTCGACTGAGTGAGCAGACTGGGTGGCATTCTGACAAAATTTAGGAAGGATTCAACTTTTTTGACTTTCTCTTTTTCTATTTGTTTATCCATCAGCTGGTGGTTGAGGTGACGTGAGGTGTTTTCGGTGGAGTGAAACCATGTGGCTTCTCTGCTCCTCTCTGGCGCTGTTGGCACTCAGCTTTGGATCATGTGACACACTGATATCAGAGCAAGGTGAGTTTCACTTTCCCCTCTGGAGTTTTTAAAAATGTCAACTGCACTAGTTAAACAAAGTGACATTCAGAACAAAGAAAATGTCTTTCTCTATGGCATAATAAATAGTTTGACGTATGCTATTTTCTTTCTTTCTGAGATATATCTAGAAGATGGACACCCATCTCAATTCTGTCCTTTAAATATCAGGCCACAGCACAGCAGCCATTTAGCTTAGCCTAGCATGAAAACAACTAGCTTAGCTCTGTAACAAAATCTGCCTACTAGCTCCTTTCAAACTAGCTAAGTTAGCATCTAGGCACTGATTGTAGAGGGTCCTTTGGTTGACTGTCAATCTAGTGGAAGTCTCTTTGCCAATAAATAAACGACAGAGCACCCCACATAAAACCACAACCTGGCATTTTTACACTTCTTTGCACTGATTTACCAAACGACATGTAACATGTCAACACAGTCTCACGGCATTTCGTGTTATAGTCACGAAATTAATCTATTGATTCGTGTTCACCAACACGATTTCGCCATTTGTTTCGTGTCACACAGAACGATTTTAAAAGCAATGTAAATAATAACAAATTAGAAGGAAAAAGACATTTAAAAGATTTAAGTATTCTGACACAGAACGATTTTAGAAGCAATGTATTTATATTGGTAGTATGTTTCGTGCCTGCACCAAATAATAACAAATTAGAAGGAAAAAAAGATGACATAAAATACAGATTTCAGTATTCTGAGGCTCTGAGCCCCATTTCTTTTCCTCACTGACGGCAAAAAAACTCAGACATTATACAATTTAAAATAAAAGGGATAGGGTTAGGCTTAGGGTAAGATATTGAGTAAGAACATGTTTTTATGAACCACACAGCTTCTGGTCTTCCAAGACCCGACCGGACAAAAAGACGTGTTGCAGGCACGAAACATACTACCAATAGAAATACATTGCATTTAAAATCGTTCTGTGTGACACGAAAAAAATGTGAAAATCGTGTTGGTGAACACGAATCAATAGATTAAATTAATTTCGTGACTATAACACGAAATGCCGTGAGACTGGGTTGAACATGTCAGGTGCTGATGTCTTTTGTAAACTTCAAAAAGAGGCTAAGCTAGCTGTTTAGCTCTACACAAGGCTTTAACCTATGTTAAATAGCTGCCAGCTGTTACTTAATTACCATACACGGATGAAGGCAGTATTCATTTTCCTATGTGGCAAGACAACAATATAACTTATTTCCTAAAATGTTGACATACAAAATATATAAAAATAAGATTCATAGTAAGACTAAGATGGACCATTATTCCACTCTTGATGTACTAACTAAATCAATACATTACATTTATAGCCACTGTGAAACGCTATCAAACTGCCTACCAAAGCTGAGTAAAAAGAAAGTTGAATCAAAAACAAAAAACAATTGCTTTCAAACAACTGCTTCACAGAACAATTATTGTATCTTCATTTGAATGCAAAAAAAAGACAGTCACAAAACCATTTTAACTGCTATAACTAAGACACATCTTCAATCTGGAGAAGTATGTTTGACCAAATGTCACCCATCTGAGTTTGATGAGAGTGTCTGTCTGTGTGTATGTGCCTTATGTGTGTTTTGGGGCTCAATGCTATGAAAATGACCACTGATTACAGCTTATGTGCATATCCAGCTGGCAGCAGTTGGTGGCAGTGTGGTGAGGCTGTGGCAAGAAGGTGTGTGTGTTTACCATGTGTGGTTGTGTTCCTCTTCATGAGACATCAATCGTTCTGAGTTTCTGTGTATGTGAGTTTTTAGGATTTGTGCATACATTTCATTGCCAGCACGATTATTTGTGTTTTTTTATGTGTGATTGTCTGACAGACAAAAACAGACATCTTAGACATCATGAGGCAGGGAGGTGAAGAGAAACAAGTTTTACTGTTTTGTGTTTTATTTTTATTTCTGTATAACTGTCATACTCCCTCATCACACTGTCAGTGTGTTCTCAGGGGCACAGCTCTGTGATATCACTTGGGAGGTCGTGCAATCCCCCATAGCTCATGGAACTCTGAAGGGAGCTTTGTGTAGGAGGGGGTCCCTCTAGGGAGACCCTAGTCAGAGCTTTTCAGATGAGACTGAGTCAGCTTGCAGCTCCCCTGAGTCCTCTCCCCCAGCGTTTGGAAAAAAGTGCTCTCTCAAGTGCAGCTTTAACATTTTGTCACTGTAACCACACACACACACACATTGCTCTGACTCATCCGAATATCTACTTATTGGTAATTTGCTGACATTACAGCTTGAAAACAGGTTTAAGTAAAACTAGTGTTGAGCTGGATGATTGCACTGCAGCTCTGCAGTGTATCGGCGAGAGAGACTAGTCCCTACAGTTAAATTAAATTGATTCCCTGCCTTTGGTAAAGTGTTGCTGATATGGGTTTTTTTGTGCACCACAGACCCTGCGCAGTCTGAAGTAATGGATTTGTGTATTGATTTGTTTTCACTCAGCTTCCCTCTGTGTGTCTGAGCTAAGTTGTATGTTTTCTGTTGCCAATGATTTGTGGTAGTAATAAGCTCATTTGCTCAGAATCAGAAGTTAGAAAGACAAGCAGCGAGCAGCAGAAACACACATCCATCACAAAGCCTTAGTGGTAAGGCTTGTTGTTTAAAGTGGACCTATCATGCTATATTTGAATAATATAGTGTAGGACCATACCTATATAAGGCATATTTATACTTTTTTTTTTTCAAAATACCAAACAGATCATGCATTTTAGCCATGCCTCATTTTGCTCAATTTGACATTTTTTAGCTCTGTTTGTGTAAGGGCAGATAAGGGCAGAACAGCACCATCTACTGGCCTGGCATATGTACTACATCGTCTCCAGCGCTTTCGAACGGCAATGGCCGTGGCTGTCTCCTCCTGATTGGTGGAGTTGGCCCAATAGCCGTAGTGCCACTGTCCTGACGTCAGGAAAGTGTTCAAATCTGGATCAGATCCGTTGCAGCCCCTTTTTTAGAGATTTGGGTATGGAGGAAAATAGAGAGGGTTGTGTTTTCTGACACTTGGTGAGTTCCCTGGAACACCGGGGACACATATTCATGTATAAAAGACGTACAAAAGTACATTTTGCATGATAGGTCCCCTTTAAGTTAGGTATAAATAATTAAATTGAATATGTTGTATTTGCTTTTACACTAAGAACTGATTAGCATCATACTTATAGTACACACTGTATGTAATTATAATTTATATATGAGTGGAATAAAAAGTGAGGTTGAATTCCATGAAAGGGTCTCCTTTCACTTTAACAGTCTACAGTAGTTAACAATTGAGCCTAATGCACAACATTACACACTAATGCCATATGCATGTAGCCTATGTCATGGAAAAAGTGACAGGTCTCTGTAATACAAACCCCCCCTCTCTAGTGATGGTAATGCAATTACTTGTACAGGGAACCAATCCACTATCCTCGTTAGGAAGAGGCTTTAGCAAAATGTAGTAAATGCAGTTATTATGTCATTTCAGTTTGAATATAATTTTGGGGAGGGACATCCAACAAAGGCTTGATGAATTACATTTGAGGTTTTCCACTAGGAGGACCCCTAGACCTTACCTAGAGCAAAACTTGGACTTGCACAAACTTGTAAGTAAGGCAACAATCTTAATTACTTTCATTAAATAAACTGGTATCAAAGTGTGGTAAGTTCAGCCTTACTGCTGCTCTCATTATACTGCTACAATTGCTTGTTAAATAAAATTGTAAGTAAATTGTTTCCGATAAACATTTTTTTAATAAACAATAAAGGAACCAATAAAAAAGTGATGGTAACATTAAATGTCTCTCTTTGAACTAATGCAAAAAAAACTCTTGAGGGCAATATTGCGGTCTTTTGTGGTGTGCTTATCGGGCAAGTTGACAAAAACGATATAATGTAAAGCCTTCCTTGCTTCGGGGTGGCTGCTTTCATGAATGAACATGTCCTGTAATGTCTTTAATTTGTATTGTAAAAACAAATGTAGTAAAAGTGTTATCATAACTTCTTTACATAAAGCATTATGAGCATACAATAACATTACAACTTTATACTTTGGTTTAAGCTTGTATATTTGTTATATTCTTACCAGAAGGTGATTAAGTGTGAAACTTCCACCAAACTCTATAAGTCAGTTACTCAGTGCTAAGTAACATTTCAAGACATATACATATGGGATAGAGCCTTGGTATGGGGACCAGATGGTCACAGGTTCAAACCCCACTGCAGTCAGCATGTCGTTGCGTCCCTGGGCAAGACACTTCGCCCCAAATTGCTCCTGTGTTGGCCACAGTATTGAGTATGTAAGTCGCTTTGGATAAAAGCGTCTAACAAGTAACATGTAATGTAATGTAATGTAATATACCTAAATAACAAATAATGCATGTAAGCATCTTGGTAATCTATGATGTTACACACAGATCACCAGACATAAGGTGAAATTACACAATCTTCTTTTATAAGAGTACAGACCTCTGCATGTACGGTCTAACTTTATTGTTTTGAAAAACTCATAAAAGTGTGTGCCACAGACACAGTTTGTGTCTGTGTGAGCTTGGGCTAGTGATTTGAATGTGAGCCAGAGGACTACAAAAGGGAAAAAGAGTGAACTCATCCCTCTTAAGTACAGCGTTTCAAGTCTTTCCAGTCAACTGTACGACAGTTTTATCTCTTGGAAAGAAAAACTGGAATGTTCTCTCTTGTTCGTCTCATTTGACTAAGAGGGCAAGTAAAAAAACTCCCTCTCTCTGAATTCCTCCATCTTTTTCACGTCATACTCTTATTTAGATTTACCCCTCACTTAAAGCTCACATAAGCTACATTGAATCATCATATTGATTCATTGACATCACCCAGCATGCCCCTCTCCTTTCCATACATTGCATGTGTTTAATAGCTCTGGGACATGGCAAACTCTCCCTCAGAGTCTGACTTTCTGCTGAGCAGCAGCCCAGTCCAATTATCTTGGAATGCCACATTGAAAAGCCTATTCAATAACCACCATACCCTCTCTTATTGCAAAGCAAACACTCTGACACTGTTAGCACACTTGTGACCTCTTCTCCCTAATGAAAGCGCTCTGCCAATTGTTTGCTGCTATACGGAAACAGTATTAAAATTCAGGGGCTGTTGCTTTCAGCCGACTGTGGCCAAAACAAGGAACTGGCAGATAAGGCCATTGATTCCTTATTCTTCTATTGTTGTAAAATATCAAGAAAAATAGGGCAAGACGTGCAGCTTTATTTATTGAGCACATTTAATTACAAGAACAGCTCCAGACTACATAAAAAAAAGGCTTAAAAGAAAGGTCACACATTACATATATTAGCTAATGTATTGGAGTGGTTGAGATTATACTATACAGTGTTTTTTGTCACATTAAGTGACACTTTTAGCTTAAGATCAAGTTGTATTGATGGCTTGGCAATACTCTTTCCCTTGTACACCCTCCAAGTTGAGTGCAAGTCTGCAAACATCAAAATGTAGTGTTTAACTTCCCTTAACACCTAAAATGCCCTGATTATTTTGATGTTTGGCAAGGTGGAAACTTGGGGGAACACTCGCATCAGTCTGCTGCCAATGTAGCATCATTACCTGCTTTGGCAAGACTTAAACACAACCCCTCAAAGAGGAAGTGAACCCAGGCCAAGACCATCCAATCTCTTTAAGGCTACATGCAGCTCTTATACTGCTAATGAGCTTGTCAACAAGCAAATGCTTTCCTTTGATCACAGCTTGAGAGGAAATGGGGTTCAAGTTGCGCAGTCTGCCCTCTGCCAAACTGCCAATTGCCTGAAAACACACCAGTCCACCAAAATATCATCCATCCTCAGAGTTATGTAGAAATAACCTCTAGATCCCAACAGCGCCAGTACGAGTGACGGTTAAATGTTGTTGTTTATTTATAGGAGTGAGAGAAGGATAAACATCGAACTTGATTCATAATTAACCGTTGCTGCTTAATTATCAGTATGTTTCTATTAACAATGGATCATGTGTCAATGTATAATGTAAACAGGATCACTCTGAGGGACAAACCCAGAGAGAATGATCTCCCAGCTCCTCTCAGCTCTATGGAAACGTGTAGTGTCTTTCAGCTCATTGTTTTGGTTAATTAGCTCACAACTTTTGTTTTCATTTAATCTAGAATCTCTTTTCAGCGCCCTCATTCTGACTGTAGAAGACAGTTGCTAACAGTAAACAAAGCTCTGATAGGCTGTAGCATTGTAGGCTCTACACAAAATCAGAGACAAACTGGATAAAAACCAACTAAAACAATGAATCTTAGGTGAATATTAGGCACCAGATGTTTCTGTCTTTTGGATGTGTAAATCATGTAAGCATGATAAAACCTCATACCATCTTGGTACTGTTTGGCTGTACTGCATTAACATGCTATGCTAACGGTTTCAGTCTACTCTACAATTAGTTGCTGTAGGAGAGCTAATTAAGCGTGCTAAAATACAGCCTGACGAGTCAAGACTTTGGGATTAAAAGCATCTGATTTAACTTATCATTTTCTCTTTCACCCCCTCTCTGCTCTCCTGTGTTCCTTCTACCTTCTCTCTCCACCTATCCTCTCTTCTGTGGCTTGACTTTTCATTGTGCTGCCCGCTTGCCTTCAGCAAGGATTACTCCTGACAAAGCCTTCATCTTGATTGTGCGTGATGGAAATGGGGCAGTGATGAAAAACAAAACAGAAAAGAAGCAGCAAAAATAAAAGGGTAAGAAGAGAGGAAAGGTAGATCTTACCATTTCTTGACTTCAAAGAAATACACCGGGAGATCTGAAGAAAAGCTCTTGGTGTTAATGTGTATGTTTCCCTTTTTTTCAAAGGCAGCAGAGTCTCTGTGAGGCTGCAGTGAATGCACTTTGTGCTGAGTCAGCAGATGTTTTAAGATGGACTAGTCAAGGTATAAATATTGTGTGTGTGGTGTGTGTGTGTGTGTGTGTGTGTGTGTGTGGTTGTGTGTGTGTGTGTGTGTGTGTGTGTGTGTGTGTGTGTGTGTTGTGTGTGTGTGTGTGTGTGTGTGTGTGTGTGTGTGTGTGTGTGTGTGTGTGTGTGTGTGGTGTGTGTGTGTGTGTGTGTGTGTGTGTGTGTGTGTGGTGTGTGTGTGGGTGTGTGTGTGTGTGTGTGTGTGTGTGTGTTGTGTGTGTGTGTGTGTGTGTGTGTGTGTGTGTGTGTGTGTGTGTGTGTGTGTGTGTGTGTGTGTGTGTGTGTGTGTGTGTGTGTTGTGTGTGTGTGGTGTGTGTGTGTGTGTGTGTGTGTGTGTGTGTGTGTGTGTGTGTGTGTGTGTGTGTGTGTGATACAAAGGATTGTAAGACAGAGAGTATCAGAGGGCTCAGAAGCCAGCGTGATACTTCCTGTACTCTCCCCTGTATCTGTTCAGGAGTCACATTCAATTTCTTTGACTTTTCATCTCTAGTTTTATCTCAGAGTACAACAACAGCACTGCTTGACATCTCTTTTGCACACCTTGAGTGTGCATGCAGACAGCAATAAGATAATAGCACACTGTGAGGCAGGCAGGCTCTAATGTGCTGCGCTTTGAAACACTCTTTGTGTTTTTAAGGCCTAGATGAGCTGAAGCTGCAGGGTGTCAATTGATGAACTTGATAAAAGGTGATGAAGCGCTGAATGTGATTTAATTATTTCTTGAGCCGAGCCTCCGTGAAATTAAATTCCAAACTCTTAATTAAAGTCAGTTGGGTCTTATTATTTAAGCTATTATATTAGGCTCGTTCGCCTCATTTTTTATGTGACTCTCAGTCTGGATAAAGTCAAATTGGGGTTGGAAACACAGACGTTGCATGCTGCGAGGCAACTCTGCATGCAGTGCACTCATCAAAAATATATTCTTAACAACTCAATCCATTTAGCTAGGAGAGACGAAAACATTACTTCTGTTTGAAGTGCACCATTATACTTAATGGCTAATAGGGCAGTCAAATTGACTCATCCTCACCTGCTAATTTCACTACAAAAACCAAAATAGGGTAGCAGGTGACAATACAAGGAGATTGCCTAAATGTTTCTTAATTTCTATTGTCGATATTGTAAATAATTTCCCCTAAATATCAAATATAGCCTGTTTTCTTTTTTAAATCAGAAATGTTAGAAGATAGACGGTCATATCCTGTGATGCGGTGCAGTCATCCCGGGAAGGCAGATAGCAGCAATAGTCACTTTTATTTTTCATTCAAACAATGAATGACCATCCAAAGCACAAATCCATAGTGACCTCCATGACCCAGTTCTTCCACTCTAACTTTTATGGTTTCGGAGAGGTGATTTAAAAAAAGGACACCAACCTTCACACTCAAGTGCACTTTAGATACAGAGAAAAGAGAGTCGCTCTTTTTATGTTCATATAGTGTCCATGGGGCAGTATTGAACGAGGTTAAATGAAAATACCTAACCTTCAACTTGAACAGAAAGCACACATTAGTGATTTAGAATATTACTGACAGCAACACAGTTTTATTTTTTGGCTAATGCGAACCACCACCTGCTTTCACATTCTCTGCAGTTCGAATAATAAAAAAAAACACCTTTTGAAAAACAGTGCCCTGTAGAATGTCTTGGCCCCAAAGAGATCAATTAACTGTGGATCAGAGTGATTCACAGGGTCCATGTCTACCTGAACAGCCCTGTTTTTTCTACACATCTCACATATCTCTGTGCTGAGGCAGGCCGCTCTGACAGGCAACAGTTTTCTCAGTAACCTCCCCTGACAGGGTGAGAACACATCCATCAAACGGATGCTACCACGACAGACAAGCTCTGTGCAAGACAACCTGTCAGCTGGGCTGTGTTCCTCTCTGCTTTGCCCTCATTTCATCTCGCTCTCTGCGTTTTACACTCTTGACTTTGTCACCCCCACCAACTCCCCTCTACTACTTTCTTCTGGATCAATATTTCTGTTGCTCTCAAATGTATCTAAAAAGTTGTCCGTTCTCTCGCACAAACTCAATGTCACACGGCAGTAAGAATGAAAGGTTGTATTTAAATGAACTCTCCGAAAGACTGATGCTTAAATAAGAATCAGAAGTCCTTTATTTGTGGGGAAATGTACATTCTTACAGCAAGGTGGATAGTGCATAATTAGTATAGTCAACATACAGTATATTATAAATACATTCAGCGGAAAGCCCATGTTAATACAAAAAAAATGCATACATACAGTACATACAGTAGTAAGACATTTTGTTCAATTGAGCACGATTTGAAGTACATTATCTTACAATTCACGCTACAATTTACTCTTGACAGTTTATTTGTTATTTCTGTGTTGTCTATTTGTCTCCACAGATGAACAATGCCCCTCCGTACAAGTGGAAGAGTGGAAGTTTCCTCAGACGACCAGGCAGAATATCACAGGTGACAAGACGAGTCCAAACAGACACATATCTTTCTCTGAGTTGTATTTACGTGGGTGCTGATACATTTAATTTGTTGTCAGGTTTCAATCTGGTGAGGCGCTTCTCCCTGCTCAAGAATAAAGATGTCAAGAGGATCCGCAACCCTCGAGGACCCACCATCCTGCGCCTGGGAAAGACTGCACTCCTCCAACCTACTGAGTGAGTCTGCAGTACAGACAAAGACATCTCACACCAACATGTTGTGTACCGCTTAAGGGAGTGAAATAAAGTGAATATCTGCTGGATTTTCAGCTTGCTACAAGGCAGCGTCAACAGGCTCTTTCTTTTCAAGTCTGAACAAAGAGAAAGGCAGAGAGTGTTCGGCTAAGCAGACTCTGAACTCTCACTCAACATGTCAGCGCTGTCCAATGGCTGATGTGTAAAAAGCAGATTCTTGGCAAACCATGCAGCAGAGGTCATTCTCTGATAGCTTTTCCAGAAACACCACTTTATTTCCTTCACCACTGACACTGGCTTGTAAAGCTCCACTCTAACAGCCTTTTGGTTTTCCGGTTGTGACCGCATACACTTACTGTAACTACTGTTCACATGAAATGTCTTCTTACGTGCTTGAGCACAAACTAGAAGTGATGCCCCAATTAGAAGCCATGATGCTAGTAAAGACATAAAAAGTTACAAGCCTATGATTTTAATAGCTGTAGAGCTTGTTCTTAACTTGTTTCTGGGCGAAGAGACCTGCGGCCATAAAATCCGGCAGAGCACGACTTCCTTGCACAACATGATTTTGCAGCTTGACATGGTGCAATTATGCTTTCCTGGGTTTTCAAGTTGTTATTACACAGCAGTTGGGTGTAAATTGTGTTTGGAATTGCGTGACAAGTGGTTATTAGGGTTATTTGCCGTCTGTATTTCAGTTTTTCCTTTTTCAGCTCTCGCAAATTATTGACAGTTTTCAGATGGAGGAGCTTCACAAATAAAGCCGTTTTTGCCAATTGGGTCAGCCCAGAGTATTTTATCACTCTGTCCAGCACAGTGAGCTCCACTTGCTTGAAGAGCCGATAAATCTGTCTACAAAACACTCTTTTTTTCGGTAGAGACATTGTGTTCTAAAAGTGTCACATACATTGTTTGTCACAGGCTTTGAGTCAACTTGTCCTTAGGAAAAGACGTGGGGAACACAAACAACTGTCACTTCTCAGGAAATCAGCATCTTTAGAGCCATAGAGGAGAATACAAGACGTTTTTGTTTTGCCTCTAACCATACAGAGAGAGGACAGGAACACCATTCTCTGGTTTGGGAGTAGGTTACGGTGCAGCGTTTACTGAAATGAGGATTCCATCGAGAGATCTGCTGTCAGTCCTCTCTGTAAAGAATGATACCTGGGTGACTTCTCTTTCACTCAGATGGAGAATAATCAATGTTAGCACATCAGCAATGCCTGTCGGCTGCCTTCAATTGTGCTTCTCATTATACGTAGAACTCGCTGTCTCTTATATGCGTTTCTCAAAATGACTAAACCGTATCGGGGGAGATTTCTCCTGAAGGAAAAGCAGAGAGGACTATTAATCCTCATCAGCTAGTATTAATATTCCCTTTCTGTCTTTATTTGCTTTTTAAACTTTGCCTTCTCAAATGGCTTTTTTCATGGAACGGTTTCACACTTTGAGAAAAGAAGAGTGGAGGCGGTGAACAGACGGGAGTTTGAAAGATGCAGTGAGGGAACAAGAGGGTTAAAGTTTTAAATCCAAGCAATAAGTGAATGCATCAGAACAAACCCTCAGGCTTGTTCCATGCCTTTCTTCTCTCAGTGATAATATGAGTGAGTGTGTTTCTTTTCAAATCTCTCTCTTTGTACAGTTTGTGTGCAGATGCAGCGCCTCATATGATATTTCCCCCCTACTGTATACTGTATATATTTCTGAAGCTGTACAGTATAAAAACATGGCTCCCATCCACCACTGACTCCCTATTACTCAAGCAGCTCTTTAATTAATCGTCACTGAGTTTGACTGAAGTGCGAGGCATGGTGTATAGTAATTGGAAAGCAGCGTTTTGCTTTGTATCAGAAGCTAATCCATTCAGCTAATCCAAGCTAACACAGATGAGTGACAGGCCGATGAAGCTACTCGTCTCTCGCTTTCTTTCAGTATTTTTCGCTGAGAGTGAAATGGGCACCATGTCACAGCTGGTCACATGAATTTTAATCTTAGCAAAATGTGATTTGATTGCTTCGGGCTTGTTGCTTTTTGTGCAGCTACAGTGAGTAGGAGAGAGGGCCGGCATTTCTGTGATATTATGGCTCGAGGCCAAGATATTTATGACAGAGTTCAAATGCAGTTGATAAATTATCACATTGCAAATATGGCACAATTTATTTACACTTTAAGCTTTTGACTGCTGTTCTTGTGAAGGAGTAGCCTAATAACCACTTCTGTAATTGTAATTTTTATTGAAAGCTCAACCCAAATATAACAGAGATGGCAAAGGTAAGAGTACGGTTCTCTTACCCAATCTCTTTGACCATGGAAGAATCATAAAAGAGTAAATATATATTAGGGATATAAATAAAATATAGTAATTGTGATCTTGTTTTTAGAAAGTGCTGAAGGCAGATTAGCGAAATTAGTCAATATGGAGACATCAGCAGAAGGTGGATAATTATTAGTCTACAACATTGATTGTGCCCAGAAGATGAACCCTAATGACTTTTAGCGTTACCCTGTTTTTTTTCCACTTCGTGTTTAGCTATTTAGCTAATTCTAGCATGCTAACATGCTTAACGAAGATGGGGGGTATGGTAAACATTTTACCTGCCAAGCATTAGCATTAAACAATGATATTTGTAACCAAATATGTTTATAATATACATCATCCAGATGTTCACATGTTCTTTACAGTATTAAAGTCATTCTTCATCTTATTCTATGCTATATGTATATCTTGTTTTCTTATTTTTCCATTTTATTTGCATTATTATGCTGCTTGCACTATTTTATTTATGTTTATATCTTAAAGGTAGGGTAGGTAAGAATGGAGAAACCAGCTTGAGTGGGCTAGAATTTGAAAGTACGCAGCAGAAAAAAGATCTGCCCCTTCCTTCAGACTTCCTTACAGAGCCCCTCCTCCAACACACACGAACGCGCACATGACCAATGAGGGCACGAGATAAGTTTGTGCACGAGATGGAAGGCTGACAGGCAGGTAGGCCATCCAGTTATTTAGCCGGGCCGGCTCAGATGATTGGTCGTGCTTTTTACAGCGCCACGGCTTCCACAGATGACATTTTTTTATGTATTTATTGTCAAAGCATTTAAAGGTGGGGTAGGTAATTTTGGAGAAACCAGCTTGAGTGCGCTAGAATTTGAAAATACACAACCGGAAAAAATCTGCCACTTCCTTACAGAGCCCCTCCTCCAACACACACGAACGCGCACACCAATGAGGGCACGAGATAAGTTTGTGCACAGATGGAAGGCTGACAGGCTTGATTGGTCGTGCTTTTTACAGCGCCACGGCTTCCACAGATGACATTTTTTAATGTATTTATTGTCAAAGCATTTAATATATTCATTGCTATCGGGATGTTAAGAGCATTCCATGGAATATAACAAAAAGTGTTTCTGAAATAAATTACATACCCCACCTTTAATGTATTCATTGCTATCGGGATGTTAAGAGCATTCCATGGAATAGAACAAAAAAACATTCTGAAGTGAATTACCTACCCCACCTTTAAGTATAGTCATCAGAATCATAACCAAAAAAAAATCCTTTATTTGTCCCAAAGCAGTAACATTTACTTTGTTACAGCAAACGTAGAGGGCAAATAAAGGGGGGAAAAGAGTAGACTAACTTATTAAATAAAAAGGCAAGCACACATTCCTAAAATAGAATCCAATAAGTACACATCCATGGTAAATAAATAAGCAGCAGCATAATTAAAAAGTTGTTGAAAAACCATATAAAAGTCATGAAGTAGTGTGTTGCATTGTTGGAGGAGCCTGGGACTTAAGAGCTTCATGACGAAACTATGCTGTTGCTGTTGACATACTGTATGCCAATAAAACCTTTAAATCTTCTCACTTTGAACATAAGAAGTTAGAATATAGATAGCATATTTGACCAAATGCCCCGTACATTGATTTTAAACGATTGAACTATATAATCAGCTGTACAGATTTCCCTTCTTTAAAGGATACGTTTTGACTGTAGTTTTCATATGTGCTGCTGTATGCACAGTCCGTTTTCTTCCAGTGTACATATTGTTTGGAATACAACAAATACAAGATAGCCATAGGGGAAAAATAGCGTGTAACAGCATTTGGCCAGTATAGCTTCTTTTATGTCTCTCCTAGTTGTTTGAAATTCCTTTCAGGGAGGAGTGTATAATTAATTCAGGGATAGAAACCCTCTCCACTGAAGGCAATTGATTTCAGCTCGGTTAGAATCCGGTACAAGGGTGCCTCCTATACACCTCTCTAGGTGATATTTCCATCTTAAACAGTGGATCTGCTTTTTCAACATTAGATTTCCTCTACCCCTGATCCCCTGCGTCTTTCTGGCTCACACCAACTTTTTTCTACCTCGCTTAAAAAAAAAAAGAAAGACTAGCAGAAGTAACTTTCTCTCAGAGTCAGGCGAGGCTAGATCTGAATCTGTCTGGCCCATACTGAGTGATTTATCTCCCCACTGCATGTCTGTGGAGATGTGTGTGTGTGTGTGTGTGTGTGTTTGTTTGTGTGTCTGTGGGGTGTAAGTGTTTTTTATTTCAGGACTCTCAATGTAAAAGGCCATGGTGAGGTACTTCCAACTTTAAAGTCAACAGTTTGAGAGTGGTTTTGTGCCCTGCAGCTTATGTCACTAATCAACAGCAATGCAATTCCACTCTTTAAATTGTTTTCTTTTTCTTTCTCTTTCCATCTCTTTTTCTTGCCCACACTCTCTCTTTCCTTTTTCAAATGACCAACTGAGAATCCGTTGATTAAGTCTCATAGATTTTAATATTTTACGCAGCATTTATTCGTCCCTCTCGCCTCTCTTTGTCTGTCTTTCTTTCTCTCTCTCTCTCTCTGCGGGTCTCCAGGTTGGACGTCTTTTTCTTCCTCACATTTTTTCTCCCACTCATCCTCTCTTTGTTTTTGACGTCCTGTAGTTGGCTGTTTTCCCTTGGATCATCCCTTAGTCATAAATCACTGTCACCCCACTTCTAGAAGCGGGAAACCAGCTGCCAGCATCAACAATTCAGTGTGTGTGTGTGCCCGTGTGTGTCTGTGTGTGCAAAGAGAGTGAAAGAGGGAGAGAAATGGAGAGAATATTTCAAAGTGCTCACCATCTCAGTGAGCATGCATTTCACTGGGCTTGTTTGTGGACCCTTCATCTCTCAATACATCTACACACATCCATGCAGTGAATATTCTGCTACGTGCATACTCGTGTGCTTAGATGCCCTTGACCAAAACTGAGGGATGAGGCTCGCTGGACTGTATCTGATATGAACATTATTGCTGGCTGGAGGTAACACACAGCTCTGCATTGTATTGTAGTGCCGGCTGTGGCCACACAAAATATGAGGAGAAAAGCAAAAAAGGACAGAAATAAGGAAACAAAAAATCCGTAGAATATAAACATGCTCACACGGGAAACAAACGTTGTCATTGTGCTCACAAGGTCGTCAAAGATATGTGAAATCAGAAGTTTTATTTCTTAATTCGTCATAAACTTAATTGCATGTGATGTTAGCTCCCTGGCTAACTGCCTTTATGTCAAGCTAGATTGATTGTTGTTATTGTCCCAGAGTCAAATTAGTATTCATAGCTTGCATATGTTCATGTCTTAATTGAACAATGTACAAATACACGTGTATACCTGGGCACTGACACACGTGCATATATATATATATATATAGTTTTACTCCAACATGCATGCCTGTTGCACCTGTATACACACATCCAATACAGTCAATTATACAGTCAATTGTACTACATTCTTAAAGTGACATGTCTGGCATTGTTGATATACTGTACATCATTATCATCATTCATGGGATTTTATTTAGCGTTGGTACTTCAGATGCTGGTCTCTTTTGTAGGTCCGTTTTCTTCCTAAACTGTTTAAATGCCAAATGAAAATGAATATTCCGCTAATATTCCTGTTTACATGCAGTCGTGCGTACACCCATTGACGTTTTTCATCAGTGTCAGGCTTGTTCAAACATGTAAACACTGCCTCCTTAATTCATTCCATCTACCACTTTCTTTAAAAGGTCTACTTGCAATATTTTTGCATCTCCACAAAAACAAGTGTTTCATAATGTTAAAAAGTAGGTCCATTTCTCCTTACAACCAGAATGTGGGCTTTTCTTTTAGGCTTGCATCAGAACCTCAGCCTCGGAGCTAGGTTGGCTAGTACAATGCACAAAGATGGTCATAAACAGGCAAGAGGTGGTGTGTCACTAATCACCCTGACATCTCCCAAAAACACTGTATTAGAAGACATAATATTGGCATGTCCAACACGTCTTAAAGGGAAAATTGCTACATTTTGTATAAAGCCTTAGTTCAATAATTCAAGCGAAATACAAATGACCTGTATCCGATGTGAGATATCGTCATAATTACAATAATAGTGGAATATTAGTAGGAATTCAAATGTAGTCAATAATATCTCCACTGTATTAACACTCGATGCTCTCAGATTGTAACACAGGCTTGATATTATCATTTACAATCTTCAAGCCCATGCCAAGATAACCCTGATGACCACATCTGAGGCAACCCATAAACCTTTCTGTGATTATTTTCACTGTCTGGAGGACTGACACGTCCCTGACTTCTGATCTTCTGTCTCTCAGTCAGGTGTTTCCACATGGCCTGCCTGAGGAGTTCACCCTCATCTTCACCCTGGCGTTAAAGAGGGCTGCCCTGGGAGACACCATCTACCTCTTCCAGATCTCTGATCAGCAGGGATACCCACAGGTGCACCCCCCCCCCCCAACCTCATATTCCTTTGCCCTCTTCCTCCATCTCTAACCATTCATCAATCCTTTTGTCTACTCATTCTTCCTGTCTCTCATCTCTCTTTTGCATAGTCATCCACTTTCCCCTTCGATTTCTTCTCTCTCGTGACACCTTTTCAATTCTCTCCCCCTTTCATACCCTGCGTCTTTTGTCCTCTCTTTATTCTTCATCCGAGTCCCCATCTGACTGGCTCCCCCGTCCCTCCGTCGCTCCTCCCTCCATCATCTTCTGCTCTCATTCATTCACCTTCATTGTTATTCATACGTGTTCCATGATGAAGCACTGGAGTCCCTCAGAGTCCCCATAATCACTGAGAGTCTGAGGCCAGATTGAAATACTCAATGTGTATGATGGATGAAGGCCAGGTCTCCTCATTAGGAGTGATCGATCGGCTGTACTGCATGCATGTGTAATTAATATGTCTTCCCTTTTACTTCATCTCTGTTACTGTGTTCTACAGCTTTGTTGGCTGGTAGCAGCTTTTAATTATCACTCTTTTATGGGAGCAACATCTTAAGATAGAGTTCAATTCTATTATGCATTATCATATTGTTTGGTGTTTAATTAGCGCTTGTGTCAAACCCCAGTTCTCTGTAGACCTCAACGGACCCGATGGCACCCTGTCCCTGCGCTCCAGGGGGGTAGACCCCACAGCTGACCAGGTGAGCTGCGTGTTCACCGGGGAGGGAGTGGAGGCCCTGATGGACTTGAGCTGGCACAAGGTGGCTCTCAGCGTGCAACATGGAGCCGCTTCCCTGCATGTGGATTGCCACTCCATTGAGACCAAACCCATGGAGCCCCGCGGGGTCCTGCCCACCGACGGACACACGCTGCTGGGCCTTCGGGCTTCAGATGCTAGGCCTGTGCAGGTACGACTCTGTGGAGAAAGAAAATACTGGAAATGCAAGGAGATTTTGTGCGGGCTTCTGGTAAAATATTCCGTGCATGTCTGCCCTATCTTTGCTATTGAAGAGTTTTGAACAAGATTAAGCTCTACAATGTAAATGTCATCTAAACTTGCTTTTTGAAAGTGCGGTGACCTTTAGTCCCTCTCTGTTCGAAGAGCAAACGGTTACTTATCTGCTTCAGAAGTGTTTTGAATGAACAAAATGCCCTTATTGGGACCTCTGCCATAGAGCATGGTGTGGCAGTGCTTTGTTGCATTAGGTAATCCACTTTAGCTATGGCATTAAGTATTTAACAAACCAGGCTTTTTCTGAATCTCCCTGTTTCCAGCAGGAAGGACAGAATGAAATACTTTTAGTAAACAAACCTCCCATAAAAGCCGTTAAATTATTTGTCTATGTGTGTGCATTTTGAGACCATAGGCTATGGCCCTGAGGTGCTTTTTGCTTCGAGGCAATCTCTTTCACTCCTGATTAAAAAAAGTGAGCATACTACGTGGGAGAATGGACCTATAGCTAAGGCTATTAACACTGAATTGATTCGGTAACCCAGGCACTTGTGTTAAAACCTACAAACACACTGACACGCTTAGACTTCTAGACAAAGGGCTTTCCTAATACTTTATATAAACGAGAAATTAATTGGCTCTCAGCCTTGTTTACTACCTAATCCAAACTTTATTTACATTATTAGACAAACAAAACAGAGGAATTATGGAGGGTTAAATGTGTGCTTAATATATATTTTTTCTGCCTCTCTTTCCTAGATGGACATTCAGCAGGTGGTGCTGTATTGTGACCCCTCCCTCGCCCTTCAGGAGGCCTGCTGTGAGATCCCTGGAGCACGGGTGAGACTGGCAACCCTAACTCATGATAAAGAAACAATGGATTCGTGTGGAGTCGAGAGTATAAAATATGCTCTAGTCTATTTCCTGCATCGTCAGTACTAACAGTAATAACAGTACTGTTAAACCTGGAATTCAATGGGAAACCTTTTTGAGAATTCATTTGGGGGATCTTTTTTTCATTTGGGAACAATTTAGATGAACAGGTAGGTTTATCTTGAAGAGTAAAAAGTCAAGCTTGCATATAATATAAATGAAATCCATTTCAATCTGATGTTTCTCAACAAGGCTCTTGACGATCTTATGCCGTTTCAAAATGTTGGCCCTTTACCAGCCCAAACTATTGGTCTAACCCCAGTGTTTACACATGGTTAAGGTGGGGTATGAGCATGGCGCAACATCATCAGTAGAAAATATTTTGCTGTGGCTTTAAAATAGTTTATTTATAGGTTTAAGGCTTACACAAATCTTAGCTTCAGGCAACAGGCTCCTGCCACTCTGTTTGGATACATTTGAAGCAATTTCTTCCCTCAGTGAAGCCTAATCTAGTTATGATATAGTTGCTGGAAGGTATCTGTGCAACAGCTGCTGCAAAAAGCTGAGTGTGAGTTTTTAAAATGAATCATAAACAATCATATCATAAACTTTGAATTTGCTCTGGAGGTTTATTCTTTCTAATCAGAAAAATGTTGTCTTCATAATGCTTTAGGCTCAATTGTTTTCCTATAACTAATTTTAGTTTTTAACTACAACTTTTCGATATGCAGGGAGAGCCCATTTGTGTTTACCACCATTTTTTGAATTAGGTTTCCACCAAAGCTGCCTTTTGTTTGTTAATAATATATTCTCTGAGGCTTTGTTTTACTGAGAGTATTAGGAATACACATTGGCTGGGGCTTAGAGTAATTCCATTGTGTGCTATTATGTCACATCAACTGCTAATATGTTTGTACTCCAAAAGTGTGACCAAAGCCTAATTATAAGTATGACTTGCTCTTTTCTCGACCCACCAATATAAAATGTTCTACCTGTTTCTCTATGTATTTTCTTTGTATATGTCTTTGTTTTCCCTATCTTCATTTTCTCTTGATGTGTATTTTTGTGCAGTTATTGTTTGCGGGCTTCAGAGAACTAGAAAAGTGATTCATTGGACCACAATGCAGCATTTTTCTGTTAGACAGACAGAAACAGAGCATGTGATTGTTCAGGTATGGAAAGAATAGCAAACAGCCAGTTATTGGGATTTATTTTTAAGCTGGAGGTATTTTTGTGCTCAGCCAACTTTTTGTCAGAATTCTCCAGGGCGTCTGTGCTTGCGTGTTTGTGTGCACCCGTTCGTGTCTTTTTTATTACCAAATGAATTTTTCAGAGGGATACAAAAAGGGTGAGAAGTTCCCAAAGAAGTTTGAAACTGTTGTCTTACGGAAGAAGAACTGAATGCTGAATACTTTTTGATTAGATGGTTTAACGAAATAAATCTTTTCCAAGCTGTGTTTAAGTTTGAAAATGAAAAATGGAAGAGCATGGATGCACATATTAAGGCACTCAGCCGCATGCTCACCCCCCCATGAAGTGTGTAGCGTCTTGTATCACAAAGGAAAGAGATACAAGTGCTGGGTTTTAATTGCATTGCTATTGACTTCATGGGCTTGCTGCTACATTGCATAGCATACATAACATGGTACACAGGTGTGCCATTTGGTTCTATTAAACATATAGTAGATTCAGATGGGATAATTGTGAATTATGTTTATGTTATATGCTTAGATAAAAACATGTACTTAAAATAATTGTTGGATAATATTGCCTGTGTGTCTATAATTGTGGTTCCATAAGCAGTAGCTGTTTTCTTGTGATATATATTCTACAATGCTGTAAAAACATCCTTTGCCAACAAATGTATGAACTGAAGTTTCTCGCCAAAAACTACAAGTTACAAGACTGCATTGAACACATCATGATAAGGCCTACAGATTTTTACGTAATAGAGGTAAATGCACCATAGAAACTCCGTTCACCAGATGCTAACTGCTAATGTAAGCTAGCTTTCCTGACGATTTTAATAACACATGTGGTGTTTCACAATGGAATATTATCAGTATAACAATAGGGTGTGCTCCGTTGACGCGTGTTTGGGGCGTTACACATTTTCTATCATCCCCGGAAAGAGTTGAGAAACCGTTAGTGTCGAACCCAAACGGTAAAACAGTCAAACAGCACCCGTGCCCGTGGTAACTGGAGAAATTAAATTAGCACAACAATGCTAGTACCCTAATGTGCGCAACTGTACTCTTGAGTGTGCGTGGATGATGGTCTTCTTTAATAATAACAACAGTACATGTCTTTGTGAGAAGTGCATAAGTGGGTTTTAATAATACATTTCCTCTTAAGAACAGTTTGAAAATGAGGTTCAATTATCTTGTTCCCGGTCTTAAAATATGTTTATTGTTTGTTTGCAGTGCCCAACAGATGCTCCCAAGAGCCGCCGTGCTGCTGAAAACGACCTGTTGGAAAACACTTTTAACCAGGTAAATGCACACAAAGAAACACACTTGAACAATGAAAAACATATGTAGTCGCACACACATTCATAACAATACAAACACAATTAAACGTTATACAGTGACATACATTGAAAATACACTTCTTATGCTTTAGTTATTTTGAAATCAATGCCAAGCACTTATATCCGGTAACAAGTTGAGAGGAATTGTTATTGAATCTTCCGTAAATGATCACACCATCAGGCACAGACATAATAAATCCAGACACGAACAAGAACTTGGCCTCAAACTGCTGTTCTTCAGACAGTTTGACTTGTTTTAGATCCTCCTGCTGGGAGACCAACACTGGCCTGAAGGACTTTTACCAAATAGCTTTGTTCTGCTTTGAAACTCTACCCTGGAAAACATGTTTTTTTACTATTCTGCAAGTACTTTTATGTGACTTCCCATCATTTCAATCTGCTGTCAGCTATCATTTAAAATATCTGTGGGCTGTGTCGAATAAGAAATAGAGCCTTATGCAACAGAGTTAGTTTTTCAACACATTTCCATGGTATTTTATAGCTTCTTAAATTCTGCGTGATACATTTGTGTAAAAACATTTGATACATTTGTTCAATGCAATATATATCTATATATATGTATTTGTGGATACCAAATTATTTTGGTATCCACAGTTACAAAAACGTAGGCATTACATTTCTCTCTATGTTTTACTCTCTCACACCTGTCATCATTCCTCTCTTTTTCCTCCGCCATAAGTTGCTTGTATTAGGATGTTAAGTACTTTATAGTTCAGTATTCCATGCCTAGTTATATTACCACCATCTTCCTCAAAGATCAGTAAAGCAGCCCAGACAAATTTCTGTCCTCATTTCCTATTTTCTTTAGCGGTGCCGTTTCTTTTTCTCTTTTGCCCTATTTCTCAACGTGCTCCTACATGCACAGACTAACTTGAGGAGTTTCTATTTTTATCTGTTAGCTTCGTACACGGTAAATGATCAATGTAAGCCAAGATTCCAGCGTGCAGGCCAGATGTCCCTGAGCCATAGCACCGCTTTTATTAAGCTAAGTCTCACTGAGTGACATTCCACATACTCAACTTTGAGCACGTGGAATGTCCTGTGTTCTGAATGCGGAAAAAGTGATGTACATAATTTACAGGGTAAACTGGGGTCAGCAATTGGTGAATTTACATTTCTGATCTGTCAAATTGCCTTGTACAATGTTACTCAAGTCAGTTTAGGTTGGGTCTTGAGACTAATTTATGTAAGCAAATTAGCATATTTCCCCAAATGACTTCTACTTTAAAGCTGGCGAAGAAATATTCATGCATATTCGGTCACAGCTGGTTCTAGCTATTCATTCAAATTACATGATGCTTATTCAAGGTGCAGTATTTAAGCCAAGACAAGCTTTTTAAGTTTGCACCATCCCATCAAACTCTTCATTATATGCCATGGTTTGAACAAGGTTTGCCTGCTCAACGTTGCTTTGTAATAACTGCCCCCTCAAGCTGATCATAGAGCATTATGGGATTAATTTTCTTATTGGACATATATAGCAAACCGCCTGTTCTGGTGATGTCAAACAATCTCTTTTTCGTTTACTCCTGGAACCAGGTTTGTGTGTTTGGGTCACAGCAGTAACCTCCTTGCTGAGGTTTGATGACACATCTCACCCACACTGTTTCTACCCTTCCAGGATTGTAAAACAATTTTTCTTGCTTTCAGCCCAGCTCCTAGCTTAAAGGTCATCTTCTCCTCAGAGGACCCACAGGCTTATTTGTGTCTTCTATCCCTGTTCTCAGTGTGTTTCTACTTCAGTTTTTATGTTGAGGTCTTGTTGTTTTTCCCCTTCTAACTTGCTGCCTTGAACAATTTGTTTCCGTTCAGCTTTCCAGTCCTTCCTCCATGTTTCTTCATGTTTCTTTTTTTTCCTTGTCTGATTTGTGAGTCTGTGCACAGCAGGGTCCATCTTTTCATTGCCTTTGGGCTCATGGATAAACTGCTTCTCTCTCTGCTCATCTGCTTCCATCGCTTTATTTCACTGAGAATAAAGGAACACTGTTAATGACCCGTGTTTGAAACCAATATGCTCTTTGTTTCTCCTCTCTTTGTTGTGTATCTGATGCAATTAAATGTAATGGAAACAGGGACGCACCGCACATGCAACAGGAGGTGAACATGCTGCTTATGCGAAATATGTCATATGATGTTGATTATGTGTAGACTTTCAAGTGCAACAGCTGCCATTCCTGGAAACATCTTCAAGATATTACTACATTACATTACATGTTACTTGTTAGACGCTTTTATCCAAAGCGACTTACACACTCAATACTGTGGACAATCCCCACAGGAGCAATTTGGGGTGAAGTGTCTTGCCCAGGGACACAACGACATGCTGACTGCAGTGGGGTTTGAACCTGTGCTCGCCTGATCCGAACACTATACTACTATTAGCTATAAGTAAATTGATTTCTTGAAACAATTTAGGGAAGAATTAGGGCTGAAAGAATAAGTAGGTTACAGTGCTGCCAAAATAGGGAACACCAGACTAGATAATATTTCTGTGAATGCTCATCAAAGGTACTGAATAGGGTTTTGGCCATGGACCTGTCAACACTAGGGACTAAACATAGACAGAAACTATTTCCGACCAATCTGATGCCAATAGTGGTAGTTCAATTGAGGTCATGTTCATCATGATGTGAAAAATGAAAGGTCTGACATTTTCTTTCTTTCTCGCCATTTTCCCCTCTCTCTCTCCTCTCTCTCTCCTCTCTTCTCTCTCTCTTCTCTCTCTCTCTCTCTATCTCTCTCTCTCTTCCTCCTCCTTATCTCCTCTCTCTCTTCTCGGTCTCTCTCTATCTCTCATCTCTCTCGGACATTTTTGCAACAAAGGATCTTGCCGATAAAGTAAGCCTCACAATCCACACACACTTGATTTTTACAGTATTGCATTTCTAATGAGACATGCGAGATAGCACATAACCTCGACCCAGGAAGATGCCCCAAAGCAAGCCTCAAGCTCCCACAGTCCATACTTGGCACGTTCAGTTGAATTAGAGACTCCAGAAGTGTAGGAGACGTGTGAAATTTAAATAGGAAGTACACATGGGATTGTGTGTTGTACATAAGGGATTGATAAAAGCATTAGTCCATCTCTATTTCCTCCTTCCTCCTTCGCATATACGCAGCTTGCCGAGTGACAGAAGACTGATTTACACCTCATTATGTTCCGGGTCTCAGTTGGGAGTTGCTGCTGCCTATTCATTTTGTCATTCACCTACAATAGGCATGTTTTGTTCACAAATAGAATACAAAACTCTAGACGCTTCATTATGTTGCTCCTGTGTGTGCTTACTTATGCAGCTGTCCACATCCCTTAACTTCCTCCAATGTAGGTTATTACCTGGGTTGGAGCGCACA